GTTTTTATGATAGCCAACCATTAAAAAGTTTTTAAAACAATAATATATACTTTACATAAAATAATAAACCTTAAAAGTATAAAAATCATAAAATTTTATATCAAATTGATCATATTACATTATAATACTAGATGACTAAATCAATTTATAATTTAAAAAAATCAATAACCCCATAATGAACATAATAATATCCAACGTCATAAAAGATCTCAAGTCTTTATCTTCTTTTATTGTTAAATTCTTTTTAGTTGTCTCTCTCTTGCTCTCCTCCCAAAAGCCTAAATCTGATTTTTTAATAGGTATTTATAGAGTTAAATAAATCATAACTCAATGTAAAAGTTTAAAAAAGGGATTATTTCAATAGTATTATCAAAATAAAAATACTTAACAAAAATTAGGTATAGAAACATAACTCAATGTAAAAGTTGGAATGCTCCATTTTCTCATAATAGTATAAAAAAACAATCCATCTAATTTGTAAAGGAGAGGAGAGACAAAATTCCTAACATATTTTTATATTTGTTTGATTTTTATAACATAATATATTCTCAAATATTACCTAAGAATATAACAATCAACACTAACTTAAAGTACCTTATAACTCACGATACAAGGTGTAAAGTAATACTAATATGGGAAAAAGATGCTTTCAAATGGAGAAGATTAGGTATATGGAAAATGACGTTTTTGCATGAATTGGACTTATATATATAAATTAACATTATTAAGTTACAAAGTGAACATGGCGCCAATTCAATGCCCTGTCCACCAAGTCTCAATATTTCTCATTACAAAGTCGTTGATGCTCTGATTCCAACAATAGGAAAAAAACCAAAGCAGCTTTAGCATTACAATGATTTTAATTTCTAGCTAGGTACAACCAGACAGTCTCATGTGGAGAAAAAGACATTGGTTATTGTTGTGGAAATGGGTATATGCTTTTATTAGAAACTTCAGAAAGGAGAGTGATTGTCGGAGGAAATGCATGAACCTCGGAGTACGCTGAGGATGATTGTCGGAGGAAATGCATGAACCTTGGATGACTAGGGGCGGCATCAAAATATTTTTTCAGGGGGATGAGATAATTTTTAATATATTAATTTATAAAATTTTTAAATTTTAAGAGATGTGAGATAATTTTTTATATATTAATTTACAAAAAATTTTCAAATTTCAAGGGGGACCCCCTTCCCTCCGCCACTGCCTTCGGCATTGGTTATTGTTGTGGAAATGGGTATATGCTTTTATTAGAAAGTTTAAAAAGGAGAGTGATCGTCGGAGGACATGCATGAACCTTAGAGTATGTTGAGGAAAAAGGAATTGAAGAATC